TTGCTAAATTTTATGCTGATACTATAGTATATTATATTCTCCATGGCTTCAGTCAGCATTTGGGTATGGTGTAATATAAGCAATGTCTTTTATTGTAGTATTTGTATCTAGATGCCCTTAGGTCTTTGAAAGGATAAAGTGGCTAAAATTTTTCATTTTTTCCTAATTCTACAAAAGCTAGTAAATCCTACTATTTACAAAACAAAAAAATTACACATCATTAACTCTTTGTCAATTCTCCTTTAAATAAGGACAATAGATTTATCTTTAAAAATTAAGAAAATAATAGGGCATACAAATTTATGCTTTGTGAGAGTGCTGCAGATTTATTTTTATTTAGCAAACATCATCATTCTCCTGAGTATATATCTTACCTAAGTCTGAAGATTAAATAATCTAATTTGATAGATACAAATAACCTATCCTCATATATATTCTTTCTTTTTAAGTAACTTTGAAAGTAAATCTCAGAACTATGATTTTCAAAACCAATGTCTTAGATCACGAAAAAAAAAAACATGGTTAAAATAAGCAAACACAAATTGTTTGTTAAACAATGAGGCCTTAGCTATCCTGACAACACAGTTATGTGGTGTTTATGTTGATCAAATATCATCAGATTCTGAGGAAAATCTCTGCTCCATTGTGCTTATGTAAGCACAGACTGTGTTTCTTGCATGGAGCTTTATAGGTAGGAGTAAAAACAATTTAAAAAATAGCTCAGATATTTCATCTGTGTTTGCACAAAAACCTAAAGTCAGATAGTGTGGCAGAAAGGAGTACATCTGAATCATTCCAGAACGAGCCATGTCTTTCTTAAACATCATATAATCCTTGATCTAATATTTTGTTTTTAACATTTCAATGTTGATTTTCAAGATAAGTAAAATGTGATCTGAGTAACATACACCTTTATGGAACCCATTTTGAAATGCCTGTTTCTCCACATTCCCTTTGTTTTGTTCCTATTTATATAGTAAAGGGATAGTTACAATAAAGAGAAACTAACTCTGTCATTTTCTTTGTTTTGATCTTTGTTTGTCACTGCATTCTTAGAAAAAAAAAGTGGCTGCACCAAGTACTTTAATATCTAGCTTGTCCTCTGTCAAGGTCAAGAAGACAGAACCAGCATCTGTCTGCCATAGTCAGGAGAGTAAGACAAAGGGTACTCAATGGGGCCTCACTTCCCATGATGTAACCATAAGATGTAGTTAAATTTTGTTATTGTAAATAATTAAATGAGATATCATGACTTTAACACATTCCCTAATTTAAAAAAAAATCTTTCTTACTGATTTGTTACTCTCCTCTCATGAATTCAGATATTTAAATTAAAAGTAATGACAGCTGAATAAAAGGACTTCTGCTACTGGTTTAGTGGTAACTGGCATAAACCATCAGAGACAAACATGGCGCTACACGACTGGAAGTTGCTCTGAATATTCATAAAGCTTAGATTACAGGGTTGGGAGTCAGTTTCAGGAATTCAGAGAGAAATATGTGTGGAGATTCTACTTTCTAGGAACAAGGAACTTTGGGAGGTATCTGACATGACTCATGACTGCAGGGTGTAATTCAGGATGAACTTTGTGTTTATATTGATTTAAAAAAATAACACAAACTGAGGGTTGTGGCCAACAGAAAAAAAATGTCTAGAGTTTTCAAGGCAAGAGAGTTCAAGATAAGGAACTAGACTAGCTGGTGGTGGTACACACCTTTAATCCAAGCACTCAGGAGGCAGAGGCAGGTGGATCTCTGTGAGTTCAAGGCCAGCCTGGTCTACAAGAACTAATTCCAGGACAGGCTCCACAATTACAGAGAAACCTTGCTCAGAAAAAAAAGAGGGAAGAAAGAAAGAAAGAAAGAAAGAAAGAAAGAAAGAAAGAAAGAAAGAAAGAAAGAAAGAAAGAAAGAAAGAACGAACTAGCAGAGACTAACAGAGTCCGTCTCTGCTACAGTCAGCATTCTGGCTCACATAGTTTATTTTCTTTCTCATAATAAGAAGAGCTAAGAGTTCTCCTTTGGATTTTGAAGATTCTCTTATTACATGTTCATCTTTTTCATTTTTAATGTTTTAATGATAACGTCTAAGGCACCAAAATGTATCAATGTCACATTAAGGGATGAAAAGACCATTCTTCCATCAGTAATATGGCAAAAGAAATCCAGATGTGAATTTCACACTTATTTTTCTTCCTCTATTTTCATGTGTCTACAGTTTGTGGGTACTGGGCTGTCTGTGATATGTCTGCCTTATGTTTCTGTGCTTACCTGAATGCATCTTATGCCTGAGTGTTGTCCTGACTGCCCCAAACAAAAAGATTTACGCTGTATTTGTTTAATAGCAAGGAAGTATGCATAGGAAGAGGATGTGGAGTTCTTCACAGAAATCTTTAACACTTTTCCATGAGAGGCAATTTTCCTGCTTGCAATTGACTCAGAATAAAAAACATAACAGCAAACAAATATCATGAAGCTACAGCTATGATGTTTGAAACATTTATTTTGAGTATTTGTTATATAAAGATGCTTCTAAATTTTTGGATGTATTCAACAAGTTAGTATCACAAAAATGACACACACACATACATACATTATTATGGGTCAAGGCATGTACTAGTACTTAATATAAGATTAGAACTGTACAGTAACTTGAGCTGTAAAAATTGATTACAGGAAAATATTCAAGGTTGGTCATTATATATTTTTCCTAGAACAGGTTAAACAGGTTAAATACACTGAGGAATAATTGGGGAAAAACCATTCTTTTCTTTTCTTCTTTTGATATTAATACAGATTGAATTGAATGTAATCAATCCCCATAATCTCACAGGGAATATCACTCACTGTTAGGAGTTATGACATTATTGGACTGGGTATAGTCTAGTTGGAGGAAGTGTGTCACTGTGATTGTGGACTTTGAGGTTTCCTAAACTCAGGATACTGCCCAAGTGTCTCAGTCAACTTCCTGTTGCCTTCTGATCAAAATTTAGGTAATGCCTAAACAGTCAAGTTTGCATCATGATGATAATGGATTTAACCTCTGAAAGTATAAGTGGGACAACCCAGTTAAATATTTTTGTTAGAAGAGTTACCACGGTCATGGTGTCTTTTCACAGCAATAAAAACCCTAATTAAGACACCTGATATGGGTTGTTGTGAAGTGAATTTGGGTTCTATGCACAAGTAACAAGTGTTCTTAACTCTGAATTGCCTCTATAGATACTCTAATGTATATTTATAACATTACTAAAGCATTAATTAACAGATTAATGGATATTGCCCATTTTAATATCCCATTTTTAAGTGAATTAATACAGCATTTCTGCAGCTGAACTGATAGAAAAATCAAGGAATACTATTCATTTCATGGCTCAATGATGCTAAATCCCAAGGTATATTTAAGTATGCTTCATGAGTCTTTCATATCAAAATCTGTTTTTTTTTTCTTTCTAGAAAAGTTCTGGCAAGTTATTAAGAGTTTTATGCACCCTGCCAGTCACAGTGGAAAGAGAGTTATGTGAAAAAGCTTAGTTTTATCTTTCTCTGAAGAATTGCAATTTGACACTTCTGTAAAGATCTTACAATGATATAGCCTTCCTTACACAAGAAATTTCATTTCTAGAATCTTTAAAATATAGTGCTCCTATAATTGGTATTCCTAATCCAGTTGTACTCATTGTGAATTTTTAGGGTACATATGCATCCTGTGGCTGCTGTTTCTTCACTGCTATACAACTCAATTCTAGTACTTGAACTTATCCACAAAATTTTAACAATGCTTCAATTGTCTTTCAATTGGTGACAACCCAACAACAACAGGCCAAATTTTTCTTGTCTCCTTCAAACTTTTCAGTTAGGAAGAACGAACCATCTCCTAGGTTAGTTTTTTTTTGATTTTCAGATGGGCTGTGTAGCCATGTCACACTTTCTTCTCTGAGAATACTTTCAAAGGCATGTAAAATGTCTTTGATATTGTAAAAAGTTGCACATTCTGAAGAGAAAATCCCATGTGTCCATTTTAATAACTTCATCTATCATGGAAAGAAGATAAAATTAATTGGGGAATTTTAAGGAAAATAAGCTGTAACTTTTCAAAAATAACTTTAAAATGCTTCAAAAGTCAAATTGTTCTCAGTGCAGGAGCCCCTAACTGCTGTATTCATCTATATCAAGTTCCCTGGCTGACAGCGATTGTGTTCAGTATTTTAGCTCTATCTAAGGTTTTCTCAAATTTCACCCAAATTTGGAAAATGTGCCCCTGAATTTGTCTTCAGCTAAGGATACATGCCAATTATAGATAACTTATAATCCTGATACAGTGTGTTTGTTTTGTAAATACAGAAACTTTATGCATTATTTGGATAATATCTTGCATAAGAAAAAAGAACATTAAATTCTGCTTAGAAATTAACAGGGGAAAAATATTTTGATATGATTTTCCAGTACTCTCAGCTTTAATACACAATTCCTGATTAAATGATGCCTTTTATCAAAGTAAATATATCTTAAGGTGTCATTAGCATATTTTGCAATTTTATTATTCTCAACATCATTTAATTAAATTTAATATGAAGAAACATCCATAGGGTTAGTATTTCAGAATTATTTGCCATGTGTGTGTGTATGTGTGTACGTATGAGACACCAAAACAACTGGATACAAATAGTTACTTTAAAATATTCTTTCCGCCATTCATTCATAACTGTACAATCAAAAGTACAAGAATGAAGCAAGCATGCGTTGTTGACATGCGTTGTTGACACGTAAACGTTCCATAAGCAACAGTCCAAATGTAAAGACTAGTGAGGCACTGAGAGAGGTTGTGTTATACTCTCCACACTTCTATCACTTATGTTGATATTCAGCATGATAAAAGCTTATCTGAGAGAATTGGGTTTGGAGTGTAAATGCCATAATGTCTAGCACTCTGTGACTCAGAATTCTATTTCAACATCACAATTGAGCTGTTCAAACATTCTCACTCAAGGTGTAGGAAAGTCTGCATCTTTGTCATTCTCCCACCTTCTGGGACAGCAGGTTTTTTGAGGAGTATTGGGTATTTAAGAGATAGAAGAAGTTAATTTCTGTTTCCTCATCAATATTCACTTGTTAATGACAGCAATTACTGCTTGCTTCTATTTTTTTTATGGAAAGGGCACATTTGCTTGATTTAATTAGGACCACTTTTTAAGGTCAGACTGTCTATTAAACCTGTTTAACTAGAGATGTTTCAGGTGTTAGCTGGGAGTGTGATCAACATCCAGTCACTGTTATAGTGGAAGGTGGGCAAGTTTATAACATGAAGTTGATTGCTTCTTCTTGGTGATCCAAGAAAAAGAATTTGAAAGAAATTGACTTTGATTTTCTTGAGGAAATAGTGTAAGCTTCTCTCCACTTCTGGTATAGTAAAATAAGGTTACAGAAGTCAAAGACAATGGTTTTTGGACAAGATTTGAGAATCATGTTTGATGACGAGAGAGGGAGAAAGAGAAAGAGAGAGAGAAAGGGAGAGAGAGAGAGAGAGAGAGAGAGAGAGAGAGAGAGAGAGAGACTTTGTTTCACAATCTGTTTGACGCTCTCTGATGGAGTGTTACTGGGACAAACTTTCCACAACAAAACTCACTAGTTTATGAGCTGTGTTTTGAAAATAATCAAAATTCTTTCCCTGTCTGCTATTGAAATTATATACAAGACATGAGATATTTATAGAACAATGTTTCTCTTCCGTATTATGACTTAGTATAATTAACTATGTAGTTAGGTTTAGACCTTAATTTATATATGTACATATAGTTATGTATTGCTATGTGTTAAGTATAGTTTGCCTTTATGTTTGGAGAGGAATTACATTATGATTATTAGTTCTTTTGCAAAACATGAAGTTTTATAAAAAATAATTGGAAATACTTTGCACATGACTTCAAATATTTTGCAACAATTTTATCAGTTTTTGTGTATATCATTTTTACTATAGATACAAAGCAAGAACAATCTAAAAAGGACCATATCTTTATAAAAGTATTTAATAAGTTGTTTATATGTGGCTACTAAGTATCCAATTTTCTGAATATTTCTGAATGTAGATTACTTAGAGGTTTATGAAGAGACAAGAGTAGGATGATCACCACTGATTCAAAAATATAGCAATGAAAATATATAGATTTTCATTATGTTATGTAATACGAGTACTTACAAAAGTAACTTACAAAAGTATTACAAAAGTAACAGCATTGATGTTCATGTTGACAAAGTATTTTGTCCCATCAACCCAACTGTGTGACAGACTCCAATAACATGGCCTTGTGACATAATACTTTATATTTCTTCTCCACATGGGTCTAAAAAAATAAGATATAATTTTTTTATGTATGTTCCATGAACCTGGTTAGAATAACAGAATTGCAGGCATATAACCACAAAAATTGATTAGTCAGCGTCCAATTTTACATGAATAACTTGCTTCATATAAAAGTCTATAATAGTCTTCCATGCCTTGGAGTTTAAACTAAAGCATTATTTACAAGGAGACCAAATTTCAAGAAATGCCGTATTTTCAATAATAGAAGTCCAAACGCTAGGTGCTATATGACTGGCAGTAAGGTGCCTGATGGAAATTTAAAATTATTGTTTAGTTGACATGACATAAAATGATTAAATCATTATTATCTATTATTATACAAATAATGATTTATTATACATATTCCTCCAAATGCACATATTTTAGGAAGTTTTGGAATCCATATGATAATTTCTTCAATTTATAGATGAGGAAATGGAGGTCTACAGAGGTAATATGTACAATCAAATTATCACCTACAACTAGAGGCAGAATTTCTGCAATGCAGTCTAGTGGTCACCCTATGGGAAGATGTTTGAATTTTGTGAGTTTATTCATATTTTATTGTTATTTCTAAAGTGAAATAAGACTAAATATCTAATTTCATGAAAAATTACATGTATAATATAAATATGTTTCTGCAAGCAGTGGCATTGATGTTAGAAACATTAACAGTTATTTCAATTTGTTTCAGAAAATAATATACACACAAAATTTTCTATTATATATATAAATATCATCTCTGAATGGTATTAGTATGTAGTACACATTGTGTTTTAAGGGATGTAACTGCTTCTCTCTCTTCTGTGTAGAAATGTGTGTGTGTATGTGTGTATGTGTGTATAGCTTGCATGTGACTTTGGTTTCTCTGTGTGTGTGTTTTCTGTGAAGAATATGATGTATGATGCTTATCCTTCATTGTACATAACTTATGAAAATCAGCGATAAAAAAAAAACTACTTGGTAATTGAAACGTAACTTTCCAAGAGCTCAGGTATCAGAAGAAAACTCTTTCTTCTCATGAGTATGAATCTTCCATGAGGGAGTGTTTGGTGGTATTCTGTGGTTCACTAAATATCATATTGAGATAAAAACTACTAACAGTCTTTGGTGAGTGATTCATTGGAGTATTTTTATGTAGTTTTAAAAAAGTTAATCTTAAAGAAAATGAAGAAAAGAAATATCTCCCTGGTAGGAAAGAATGCTTTTCACTTAATAAATTCAAAGAATCTATCTGAAGTACAATTTAAAGAAACTCCTATTAATCACCATTGTAAAGCTCAGGAGAGTAAATAATTATTTTCTGGAGTATCTCAATGTTTACCATAATAGAAATCTACAAAAAAGTAAGCAGTACAATTTTGTTAACTTGATCATTTATGCATATCAGTAGAGAGAACAAAAGTCTCATTAGTATGAAAATAATAACCATCCAATTATGAATTATTTCTTCTCTAACATTAAAAGGAAAGGATCATAACAATTTTTTAAAAGAGGGAAAAAAGAAGCAAGATAAAGTACTGTTTTGTGTCACTTTAAGGAATTAATTTTTTCTTTTACCCTAAAAGATAAGATGTGTTTCCCTATACTCTTTAGCTGATTTTTGATTTTGCTTTGTCTATTTCTACATTGTACCCCAGGATGACTATGTCACCTACATTCTTCAGTTGACTTTTGACTTGGCTTTGTCTGTTTCTACATTACAGTCCAGACTGACTTTTCTTTACTGTTCAACTGCATGTCATCTTCCTAATTTTGTCAAAAATAAATTAATTAGAATAGACTTATGGATATATGACCACCAAATAAGTTTACATTCTAGAAGAAATTGCTTTTGAAGGAAATAAATATGCATTGAGTCTTAGCCAATGAGAAAAAGGAAGCTTCCAGGACAACAGAAAACATTTGTATAGTAGACCTACCCTGCTAGCTGCCAAAAGAATGAAAATACATGTAGATCACCAGGACCACATCGTGTTCCAAATCTAGAAAGTAAAGTTGGAAATGCATGTATGATTAACCTCAAATTTACAGAAAAAGCTTTATTTCCACACACCAAAGGTCACATTTTCTAACATATCTTAACTTTGAAACAACAATATGCTATTTATGAATTTTATCTTTTAACACCAATTCATAAGTGCTAAGGAATCATATAATCTCCAAATATAAGATTTATTTTTATATTTACTTAATTCTGGTGAGTTTTCATGTAGGATGTCCTTCTGTTTGTGTGTTGTTTTCATTGGTAAATCATAAAGAAACTGCTTGGCCTGATAGGGCAGAACTTAGGTAGGCAGAGAAGACAGAACTGAATTCTGGGAGGAAGGAAGCAGAGAGAGAGCCGCCATGAAGACACCAGGTCAGACAGGCTAAATGTTTCCCAGTAAGCCATGACCTTGTGGTGAACACAGAATATTAGAAATGGGTTAAATCAAGATGTGAGAGTTAGCCAATAAGAAGCTAGAGCTAATGGGCCAGGCAATAATTTAATTAGTACAATTTCTGTGTGATTATTTTGGGTGTAAGCAAGCTGGAACTGAAAGCAGCCTGCTCTTCCTGTTACAGATTTAATATAATGTTTTGGACCTGATTCTCTCTTTTTGGCCTCTACATTTATTTGTGTTTACATAATTTAAGTTAGAATATAGGCCAGGGTAATAATTATCTTATTACTTAGTTAATTTGCATAATTCTAATGGGTGAAATTTAGGAAAGAAATTCTTAAATAGTTTATGATCCCTTTATGTTTTGATTTACAAACCTGGACTAACATCACAGAATTGAATGCAGTAAACAGCTGTAAGTTCTTCTGATAAACATTTTTTTTCAGAGAAGACAAATTTGCAGAGAAAGTACATCAGAAAACTTTCAAAACAAAGTGAAATGACTCTCAGTGAGCAGAAGTAACAGAAAACTCCTCTCTCCTGATTCTAGTAAGAAATATTTTCCCATCCTTTACCACCAATGCTTCCAGCAGCAGTAAATTTGACTCACACTTAGGAAAAAGACCTCCAGGACCCAAAGGCAACTAATCTGTCGATCATTCAGCAGTGTGTTTAGGAGAGTTGTACTAAAGATTTGAGCATACAAGAGACTGATGCAGAAAATGAATTTCTGCAGCCATCAGCTTGTCAATTATTGAATTCTGTCAGTGTCACTGTTTTTCCATGCAGGTGCAATTGTAGTTCCGTACCAAGGAAGTCATATCAGAAGTGAATTTACATATCCATCAAAGGATAGATTTCTTAAAATGAGACTGGTGCTTCTAGCGATCAAACCCAGAGACAAAACAAAAGGAAAATCCAACCTAAATAGTGCAGTAATAGAATTACTTTTCTAGTGCTAAAAGAATTTGAATTGTTTAGCCCACTCTGGATGTCCTACAATTAATTAATTAATTGATTTTACATGATCCATTTTTGTTGGCTCAGGATGAGCGCTCACTGCCAGAAGAGCTCTGCTCTTTAAATTCAGTATCTCTCTTATTAAGAAACACAATTATTTGAAGCTGCATAATAAGATTATACTCCTGTTAGAATTAAGGGTCATCAATGTATTTTTATAGTCATAATATTTGTTGGTTATTGAAATAAATCTTCCTATCATACCTTTATTGTGATCAGAGAAATTAAAAAAGTATAACATTAAATGATTTGAAATGAATTAAATCTCCCTTAAATTATGCCATCTATTATTTTTTTAAAAAAATGTGTGCACGACAAAATTATGTTACTTTAGAAACATTTCTTTCTTTCTTTTTGTTTTTTCGAGACAGTGTTTGTCAGTATAGTCCTGGATGCCCTGGTCCTAGCTCTTGTAGACCAAACTGGCTTCTCATTCACGGAGATCTACCTGCCTCTGCCTCCCGAGTGCTAAGATTAAAGGTGTGGGCCACTGCTACCTGACCTAGAGACATTTCTTTAATGTTTTTAACAAAATGCTGCAGGACTTTGTCAAACTTCATTAAAAAATTATTAATATTGGCCTTGTCATAGAAGATACATAAGAAATTTACAAAATATTTATTCATGGGTTACTTTCTTTAATTAGAGCAAATATATTTAAACAGTGTCAGTTTTTGTTTGCCACTTGTAGCAGTATATAATAGCAAATAATATTACTATGAAAAATTAGCACATATTGTTCATTCATTTTATGGCTGCTTTCATATTTCTTCAAGCAAAGGGTTAATTTTTCAGTTTCCTAGTAATATCCATATAGAGATTAATGGATCTGCTTCTCAAGAGAATAGTTTAATAGGCAGCTTATAAACAGTGTTTGTAAAAGGTATTCTATCTTATTTAGATTGAACTAGGCTCATTGACTAATCTGAAAGAAAGTGTATCTCTTATTTTTTCTTTTTCATTTTTTTGTGATAAGTTTTATTATTTCCTTTTGAATATAATTTAATTCAGTAGTTCCCTGTTTACTTTCCGCTCTCCAAACCATACAGTATACCTTTTCCTACTGCCCATCAAATTCATTGATTCTTTATTTTACTTATTATTAATTGCTATTGCATATGTGTGTGTGTGTCTCTGTGTCTGTGTGTATACGTACCCATTTGCACACACACACTCTTAAATATGCCAGGCTGTATAATGCTAATACTGCCTGCATTTATGGTTTTGGTGCTGCCGATTTAACACTAGATCATCATTTGATATGTTCTTTCATGGGTAATTATTGTATGTCTGAGGCCTTGAGGAATTTTTTCAGCCAACTCTATTTTGTCTAACTCCTTATAATTTCCTGAATTCTGTAAGTTTTCCAAGCAACATAAAATATCTTTGAAAGTTCAAAACTGATGTCTACATATGAAAGAAAACATAATGCTGTCGACATTCTAAGTCTAGTCTAGGTTGCCTCATCTAGAATGATTTTTTTCCCCAGTTCCATCTGCTTACCTGAAAATGTCAAAGTTTGTTTTACTTACTACTAGACAAATATTCTATGTGTAAATGTAATACTTATTTCTTATCCACTCATCTATTGATAGACATCTAGTCTGTTTCCATTCCTTGACTATTGTGAACAGAGCAGCAGTAAATATCAATGAGCAGGTTTGCATCCTTCAACCCTCATAAAAGAATCTTTTCACAGTAGATGGTGAGTACTAGAGACTCACAGCTGGTGCTCATGAAGACAATAAGATACAGCTGTGTGTTCAGTACTAAATAGTATTTTTTAAATCTATCTTGAGGTTTGGTGACCATTTCAGTATAGTGGAATGGAAATGTTGTAAGGTCAGGCGAAGTGGGAACTGAATGGTTACAAAGAAATGGTGTTTTTCAGATAGAACAAGGCATCTGCACATATGTACTCAAGAGTGGTTTTGACAGCATGGATAACACCATTGCAAGTCAAGCTAACAACAAACAATAGCAATCTCAGCAAGGAGAGCAGAGGGGAAATGAAGCCCTGCTCCTAGGTGAGTACCTATTGTCAAATAGTTGATGGCTGATTTGAAAAGAAGGTTGTGTTTTCTTTAAGTTTTTGGTGTTGGAATAACACTTGTCCGAGGCTATTCCTGATGGTCTGATGTATGAGGAAGAAAAATACTCCCCTGCCTAAAACCAGCAAAAAGCTTGGCAAAGACATGTCCTGAGGCCAAGCCTTAAGGTGTCTTGATGGCTTTTATTCTCAAGGGTAGCTAGCTGGCTTGCACACAGGTTATGTCTCCCTGTAATGACACTATTTCCAAAATCCTGCTTCTGCTTTTCACAGAGCTATTTGCAGGTAAGCTGAATCACTGAGCTGCTCTCCACAGACTGGGGCATAATTTGCATATCTAGGATTTCACTTTCCATTTCTGCTTTCCTTCAGAAATTTTTGCCAACTTCCAATTCATGCAAAAACCTGAAATATGTCTCCATATTTCACTTTTATCACTTAGAATATGCAATGTTTGGCCCAAGTTAACTGTCACACTCATCAAGTAGGAAGAAATAGTTTGTCATACCTGCTTAGTATAGTTAAACTTTCAAAGACTTAACAATTTTTCCTAAAGATCCAGTTAAGACCTGCTGGATCTACACTGAGATTAGACTTAGTTTCACTGGGATTTTGAAAACTTAAATTTCCAGGTCATTTTACAACAAAGACTTTCTTAATCAAATGTTCGTTTAAATTTTTGAAGACACTGTAGCTTGGAAGGTACGTCTTTATGTTCTTTTCCACACACCTTTGCTATCTAATCTGTTCACATTTACTGAAATAGTTAATTAATTTAAGATTGAAATTTGTAAATCTCAGAGTAAAACAGAAGAGAAGAATGTTCCCCAAATGTTCCTAACAGAAATTTTTCTGTCAAACTACCAAATATGGTCTATTTAAATACGTAGCAGAATTGGAGGCTGTAATTCTACTGGAAGGTCAGGGAGATATTGATCACTGTCCTAACTGATCATTAGTGACTTTTAAAATATTAATCTACATTTCTGAAATAAAGACTTACAAAATCATTGAATGTGTGAGAAAGAAACTGAATACACATTTTTAATCTGACAGTACTTCAACAAATTTTAGAAAAATATCCTAGAGAAAAAATGATATCCTTACTTGTGGTACCTACATCAGACCAAAATAAATCACCTGCAAATAAAGATACCATGACTTCTACAAAAAAAGGACCAAACCAAAAAAAAAGCTATGAATGGAGTTGAGCAAGGTATTTTCTAATTATAGAGCAGTAGAAGAACACCTGTGCTAACTTGCTGTGGACACACCCTATGAAAATCAATATATCATACCTGTCACAATGTCTCATTTCTTTGTGTTTGATATGGAAGTTTAATTGGTTTGGATCTGAATCTAGTATTTGTAACTGTTACAGTTAACATAGAGTTCAGAAATTTAGAATCAACCCAGAAAGAGATTGTATGCATGAAGTTTTGAATCATTCCTTAAAGGTTGATTTTGGTGTAGTTGTGCACATAACATGGTGTTGTAGTATACAAATAATCCTTAAAGCAGGAACACATTTAATAGATCCATTGACTTTTGCACTAATTCACAGAAAAAACACACCTTATTATCAATCTCTGAGTTAATTGCATACATTGATCTCTCTTACAGATACCTTGGAGGTTTAATATTTGAACTCCTTCTCCTGCTTAATGTTCAGTGACTACATTTTTAAACCACAGTAATATTTCTGACAAGCAGGAAAAACTTTTTACTTGAGTAATACAAGAGCATAAAATTAATTAAATAAAACAGTTGTCATTTTACTAACATCCTTCATTCTTAAATATATTAATCAAAACAAATCTTATTCCTTAAAGAGACAAAATTTCCAGGAAATTCCTAAGAATCAGGATAAATGAGATTAAGAATTATTGCATAATATTGGATAATAATATGAGTTGACAAATTTGTAATACTATGTTTGAAAGGAGAAATATTTCTGTCTTGAGAAGAGAATTTCTATCTTGAGAAGTGAATCCTTGTTCTTTGATCATCAAGTCTGTAACTTAAAATGTGTCTCTCCATATTTTTATGTTTAATGAAGAATTTCCCTGTGCTTTCTCTATCATCTCGAAGATATGAACTCTGCTTTCTTGCTTGTTAAGCTAATGCTCTTAGCAATATGTTCTATAAAGATCATTTTTAAATATGTGCTAATATTTTGTTAATTATAATAAATATGCATGTGATTTTTGTGTAATTCCAATAAAAACTTTACTTATGAACATTTTTAATATCATATTTTACCCATGTTACAAACAAGATAAACAAATTCTAAAAAGCATGAAGCTGAATAAATTTGTATTCTGTGGAGCTATAAAATATAAAAATATCAACCACAAATGCTAGGAGAATATATAAACAGAAGTTATGATTAAAATACAAGTTATAAACCAAGAATAACATTTAAATTGTATCTAGCATTGTAATTATTTATGATAGATGAAAGTTCCCTAAACTGAGTTTTAGTGATAAAATATTCTTTTTAATAAAAAGAATAAACAAGGTCTGAAATGTTTCTGGTCTGATAAAATGCCTACCTATTTTTGCACAAGGCCCTGGAATCAAATTTCAGCACCAAATTAGTTGACATAATGGCCTTTGAATGTAATCTAAATATTCAGGAGGAAAACCATGTGAATTAAAATTTCAAGATCACCTTTGATATATATAAAATGATATAGAGAATTCAAGGTCAGACTGTTATATATATAAGACCTAGTTTCTAAAAAAATGCAAATTAACAAATAATTAAAATTAAACATGTCTTTAAAAATAAACAGGTTTTAAATATTTGTAATTAATTTCTCCTTAGGTAGCATGTAACGAATCTCTCAGTGCTATGACCTAGTTGGAAACATCAATCACCCAGCTATAAATCCTGCTACCTACAACAGATATACATTTACAATATATTGATGCAATAATGTCATGAATGGAACAGGAATAATTAACCATATTTTACAAAATTGAATATAAAGACCTCTCCATGAGATTGAACCACACTTAACAGTGTTAACATAGCCAAAGATCTGAGAATAGATTGATCATGGATCTAGGAGAAAAATGTTGACTGAGGTTTCTGTCCCGCTAGGTCCCACAATTATTCTGTTGACTGAGGTTTCTGTCCCATGAGGTCCCAAATCCTTTTAGTTCCAAGTACACACAGAGGTCTACATTAGTTGTAAACTGATTGGCCTAGTATCTCAGCCTTATTATTAACTCTTATAACTTATATTAGGCCATAATTCTTGTTAATAGGATTGTACGTTGTTAGCTTTCTTATAGACCCCAGTACCAAGTTTGCCATGGAATGATGCTGAACATCATGAGCTGAACACTTCTGTATCAATTAACAATGAAGATAATGCTTCACAGAAATGTTTGCTGGCCAGCCTGATTAAGACAGTTCCTGAACTGACAGCATTTCAGATGAGTCTAGGCTGTGTGGAATTGACTGTTAATGATATCTGGGATAACCTTTATTTTAGGGTTGTCATTTTGCTTAATAAGTTCCAGACTAAGGTAAAATTAAAAGGGATAAAGTTTTAATACTAAAAGTAGCAATAGGAAAAGTCTGAAAATAAAAATAAATAAAAAACTAAACCATTTTTGAATGAAATCATGTAAGAAATAAATTAATAGCAGCCACTTAATTTAAAATCTCAGTGACTCCATTGAGATTGGTATGCCTACCTTAGAGCTACTTCCTAATATCCATGATTGAATGTGTAATAAAACTGATTTTTACAAAGTTCACATATTGAGACAAACCTTTTGAGGACACTTATGACAGAATCAACAATACTATTCCCACTGAAGTTTCACTCGGAAATTGGACTCTCTTGTCTAACAATTCACATTTTGAATTCAGTACCTGTATTGTAGTGCCGTGACCACCCGTGTCTCAATAGATTAGATGTATATATTGATTATGTAAGCATTTTATGAGCCATGCACACTACAGGGAATATTGAAATGATTATGAGTTTAATAAGTGTCTGAAGAGAAAATAAATGAGGGGGAGGGTTCTTGGACAAATCACATTGTTAAATGTCAGAAACTAAATTCTCATCATGGCAATTAACAGCACAAATTAACAATGTTAAGACTAAACATTATTAAGGGAATAATACTCAACTTTTCTTGTTTAATCAAATATTTCTAAATTTATATTAAATTATTTAAAATAGTTTCTGCTCCTATGAATCTTTTCAGAATTTTATGAATTTTTTAGATGTTACCAAACAGTAACCACCAGGTAGGAAACAAGAAGTTTCCCAGATTTCTTTATCTTTTTGTCACACAATGATATTTACTGTAATAATGGTTTTTTCTTTGAACAGTCATCATTAAATGTGTTGATTTAATGTTTTCTTTCATATATGCACATTTATTTCCATGTGTTCTGTACCACGTTTCTTGTATGTTATAAATTACAATTTACTCAAATAAGATACTTGATATATTTTTTTGTATTTTTTCATGGGTTAGGGAAAGATGGTTACATTACTATGCTGTCATATTTTGAAAACAGACTACGGTTTCATTATCTGGCCCCAGACCTAAATAATCAAACAAAAACTGTATTAAATACAACACTGTTAGGCCAATGGCTCAGACGTATTCCTAGCTAGTTCCTATGTCTTAAATTAATCCATTTATATTAATCTGTGTGTTGTCATGAGGCTGTGGCTTACTGGTAAGGTTCTGCTGTCTTTCTCCTTTGTCATGTACATGGCACCTCCCTGAGATTGCCGTCTTTCTCCTGGTATTCTGTTTAATTTTTCTGACGACCTATTTTCTGCCATAGGCCAAAACTGGTTCTTTATTAACCAATGATAATAAAACATATTCACACCATACAGAGGGGAATACTACATCAGTATTTCACTCCCAATTTTGTTGTTTAATTTCGGTGATTAGATCTTCATTTTGATTATTTTTAAACATTTTTTGTAA